GGGGGTGGGGGGAGGGTCCAGGGGGATCAAGCCCCCCTCCTCATCAGACCTGTTGGTATTTTTTAATCTTGTGTGAAAACAATGTCATTACAACGACAGGATCACATCCAACTATCTAAATTGAAGTATTTAGATTTTAATTGTCGTATAATATTTCTTCATTTCTTAAGGCCCTAGGGTAAAAAATGCTATGCCCTCCCCTCCTGTTTAATATTCCTGAACTCCTGTTTAAAATTCCTGAACCCTTCCCATATGACGAGACTGTACATTGATGTTGGTGCATTTGTAGTATTTGCAAGGATCCATTACTGACGAGAATAGACGTGGTCACATGATAACGTTTCTGTTGTAGTTCCTGAGCAATCTCAAGCCTCATTGTCTTCTTGAAGACTGGGGAAAAATTGGCAAGAGGTTGTATTTCCGGTGTCACCTGATTGGGCTTGCCTAGTTTAAAGTATGCTCAGGGCCTGGGTACAAGGAAAGAAACTGACAATTTAAAAATGTGTGGACTAAGGCCGTAAAAAATTTGGCTGATGAATAACAAGTCAGCAGAGTACATTTTCAACCCTCAAGATGGGTGTGTTTAAAAAAAATGACTGGAACAATATTGTGTTGAGGTTTGAATATTTCCTCAGTATTCTTCATGCATTGAAAACTTAAAATCAGCATGTGGTCTTGCGTAAATGGCTTTATACCAGTCTTAGAATAAAGTAAATCCAAATTTTTTTGTTTTACACTCTGTGTTGTGCATGGCTGGTGATTCAAATCTGGCTAAATTCAAACAAGACAAAATGCACAAAGAAAATACAAGCAGAATAGTCAAGAGACATCAGACACTGCTTGTAGTTGCAAATGAAAGTAAAAACACAAAATTCTTCACAAGAGTAATTTTACTACCTATTTCAAAATTCATATTCAATTTCTATCCACCTCCAGCAAATCTCCTTGGCTGCCTTCTAGTTAGTTCATCAGCACAGGACTCAAAGGCTTTCTGATGCAACAACTTCTTCAATTCAATGTTCTTCCTTATTCATTACTTTCAGGGACATGTCACAATTTCAGTTTCTTAACTATTTATATACAGTAACATCAAATATCAGGCAGCAAGGGATTATTGTTCTCCCAAGTATGATACTACAAAAGATGATAGCTTATTTTCTAACCCTCTCGGTAAAACAAAAATCAACAAACATTTTCTTCACAATATAAATACAATGAGAAGCATGTTAATCATAGGAAAATAGCAGATAATTATATCCAAGCAAAGATACTGATACTCTTGTTACTGTAAGGAGGTGACCATTGAAAACTGGTTGTATAGAAGTGAAGTGATAACATGGCAGAGACAATTAAAATATTTATTGGACAAAAACAAAAGATAAAAAAAGCCGAGTGTTTGATCAAAAACTGTATGTATGATGACTAATCTAGGCTAGCTATGATACACAGCTACCAGTTTAGGGGAGATTTAAGTATTTATAACAATATTATGAAACTAACTTTAATGTCATAAAAAACACACTACTTGAATTGGTCCATTATTTACAACTGGAATCATGTGCCACTCCAATTACTCTCCATTGGAATACAATTAGAAGTCTATTATTTTCATATTTGCACTGTAATTCCACTTCTTCTGTTAATCTTTGCTTTTCATTTTATTGATTCCTCAAAAACAGTCTAATCTGTAAAAAAATTGAAAACAAACAGTTATCAATTAAATGGCACAGATGTACACATAAACAGGAACACAATTTTCAATAAAATTAGCTATAAAATGTGACTGGTGCAAGTGAGATTGCATCAAAACAACCACTTGGTTTTCAAACATGTTTCTTAATCTTAGGCACACTCTTAGATAATCAAAAGTTTCTATTGTTCAAGCCAAAACACTACTTTTTTTTGGAAAAGAATGTTTGATTGATTTTGTTGCAGCAAAATAGCCCTGTAACACACATGTAGTCACAATCCAATGGGTTAGGTATGTAGGGTAACATGTCTGCAATTCAATCACTCTTGTCAGTTTGGACAGTATGATAGTCTAATAAACAAAACACTGTATTAAACATTAAAGAGAATAATAAAAAACTGGTTCAATTTCATCTACAAGCAATATTGAGACTTGCAAACAGTACTATTTCACTGCAACAGTAATACAATAATTCACTTCCTATGTGACTACTTTATTTGTTGGTTTATATTCTTGACATGATGTTCAGAGAGCAATATCAAAAGCTGATCTTCATTGTTGATTTATCTTCTTCTCCTGATTTTCTAAGATAGAATCCTTTCCTTTTACACAGGTGTAGCCCCATGTAGGTACAATAGTAATGTATTCATCTCAATCCAATGCGACCAATATTCACTTTGAACTTGGCCTGGGGGAGCCAAGTTATGGTTTGGTTTACCTGGTTTACTTGACTCAGAATTTTCAACAAAGTGGAACTCTAGGTAATTCCTTCAAGTCAAATTTTCATTTGCCCATCCTCTGATATCCAGGGGTTAGCAAGTCAAGGCAGCACAACTTTTTCCATTGTTGGATCAAAACAAATCATCCTTCAATTATTAATTTTCCCTGGAAGACTATTTTGTATAAAATAAACAAAGGTGCTTTTAAAGAAGGTGCAGTATACCAAGTAAAAAGGTCTGGACTTCCATCAATTGCCAATGCCTTAAATTAAACACCTCACAAATTGTATTTATAATCAGCTGCTTCCCCCAGCATTTAAACAAGGTTGGTAATTAATTTGAGTCTGGCATATAACCAAGAAACCACAAAAGTCTAGGGTTCTGGTGTGAAGTCCCTCAGAGAGTGTTGCATTCCTTTTCATTCTTATCTAATTTTTAACATGACAACTTCCTTCTCAAAAATCCTCTTCATTACTCCAAGTAAATATTAAGAGAATTCAAATATTACGCAGAGGCATTTAAGTTACAATGGCTAAAAGTTTCTTTCTATGAATGACATCAATGTCCTTTTCCAGAATCCCATTTCATTTGAGCAATTTCACACCTGTCTTATATTTTTAATTTCAGAAATGAGGTAGCAATATGAGAAAAGTTACTGGACACTACTTTCTACATCTGAATAAATATAAGCTCAAATCATCAAAATTCGGCCAAGAGGTCAGGGTTGTTAATTTTGAGAATTCTACAATCTCTAACATGTAATGAACAACCTGCTCTTTGGAAGTTAACGTCACATTCTCAGAAAGTAGAACAAAGAGGAGAAACATCAATATCAAAATTAATTATTTCGAGTTGCCAACAGAACAACAAGCACATTTTAACTAAACATGCAAAAAAGTTGTCTTCCAAAAACACTTCAATCACAATCAAAGGATAGCAGTGTTGTATACCTCTGAACCCATCAACATGTCCTATTTAAAGCTCATGTCAGGTTAGCACTGAGTTTAAATACAAAATAAATGCATAGATGAGGTTTTTTATATTCTGTAAGCAAATTTATTCTGAGCTAAAGCGTGCGTATTAAGTACATAAAAAAGAGTGAAATATCTCAACACACCCTGTTCTATGAAAATTAACGAATAAGAAAAATTTTCTATCACACAAACAGTAGCAACATTAAAATAACACCGAAGTCAAATCTCTACAGGGCAGTCGCGATGCAACGAAAGCGAAAAATGACGCAGTCATGTTGCTTAGACTGCAAAATAAATTTACTGGCGAACTTTGATTTCCTTAACCCTTGTGAATTAAACGAAAGAGAAAAATAAAAGCAGAACTTACTGTATTCTACAAGAATATCCGCGATTAACTCTGCCCGCCCACTGGAATTCCTGCTGGAGTGCACGTTACTGGTACGCTAATGCCTTGATATCCACCTTTGGATTGCATTTGGCATTGAATTGAGCCGAGCTAAAACGAAAAAAAAAGAAGAATTAGATCGCAAGATTGTAGCTGTTCACAGTCAGCACTGACTGTTGGTGAAATAAGCTCACGTTGAAAGAGAACAACTTGTATCGCCACGAGGAAATTCGTAGTTTTTGTCGAGAGAGGTTAGATATAAGTGCCACAAAATCGAACAACGTTCATTTCGGAGTCAGTTGTTAAACGTAAACAAATAACTTAACAAGAATTAAAGCCCAATTTCTTCGAAAATGAAAGAAGGTTTTAATAAGGAACAGTGTCGCTAATTTTAACTTACATCAGATCCTGAAGCCATGTCTCCGCTGCCGATGTGACCCGTGTGCTTCAAATCAAAATCAAAGAGTCGAAGTTAACCACTTTAGATCTGAACTGGCACGTAAAATAAACATCAATCGCCAAAATAGTGCACTTACTTTGAAATCCATAGGTTCTCCAATCATGCTTCTATCTATTCTTCGTCTTTTCTGCAAATAAAGAGAGAAACTTCAGTCTCTGGAACGCAATATTAAATCGATGAAATGATCACTCAAACCACGAAAAAGATGAGCGTATTCGATCTACCGGCTGAGGCTGTTCCGTGGCACAGCATGGAAAGCACAACCACAATTCGCTCATTTTACTCATCAGGTCGATCCTGACCGATGCTGGCCACAACGAAGGGTTTTCTTATCCGAAATTCAGCCGTAAAGTCATCGCGAATACCTCAAAACATACTTGCTCTCCACAGTTCGAGAAACTGGCTCGGTTGCCTTCCCACACTTCCACGAGGGTGCGGTCGCTTGCCCAAGTAGCATCGTGGGTAGCGGAAGTCAAGGGCATAGTTTATTTCCGGTTTGCGTTGTTTTAACTGAGTTTTCCAACTATTGTTTCCTGAAGTTTACCCAAGCGTGCACCGACAAAAGTTACAAAATCTCACAGCTGCATCATGAAACATCCATAGACACAGAGATTCTTATATGGAACAAGTTACCATGGAGAGAGTGCAAAACCTTCTCTTTATTATGTCACTGTTTAAGAATAAGCTAGAATTTTCTTAGGTAATGTAACCTTGCGATACGTTAAAAAAAAAAAACAAAAAAAAAAACAGGATTTCAAAACAAACTTATATGTAAAATGATACGCCATTTTACGGACTTAGCAACGTTGTCATTTTCCGTATTCACAGGAAAAACTACAAAGTAATGGAACACTTTTCAAACGGAAAGCGCAGAAAAGGAAATGCAGGGCGTAAATCGCAAACAGATGTTAATCGTAACTGATGACAAAGCAAGTTCTTCGTAGTCAACCCCAATATGTCCGGAACAAGATGGAAATCTTCGTAAGAGTGATCAGCTTTTACGCACGCTTCTGTCTCAACTGTTAGTCGCCAAGGGGGTCTGACGAAAAGACACCAAAAAATTTGCCCCAGGGCATATTTTTCAATGAACAAAAGCTTTCACGGTTTATTGTAGCATATTCTCTCCCACTCGGATGTTTTAACTCTTTCGAAGTTGTAAATGATTCTTTCGAACCCAGAATAGGTAGGACATTGATACGTGTAAATCCGCGTTATCTGGTCTTATCTCACCCAGAATCCAAAATTCGACAAGCGAATTATTTAGAAAACCACAACACTTCGTCGCGCACATTTAATTTAAGTTTTGTTTTGTCCGAGTCGAAATGAGGCGTGAAATAAAGTCTAATTAATAATATAGAACACTAACTGAACAAAAACTTTGAAGAGGGTGAAACATTTTAACAGATTCATGTCATTTCCATATTCGCCATTGTGTGACGGCAAGCAACAAGTTTGACAGGCTTGATTGTTGGAAGGTTCGAAAACACAGCTGAACCTCCCAGAAATATTGCTCGCGTTATACTTAATACCTTGGCAAATACATCGAATGAAAACGGCGTACTATTAAAATCGAAACATTTGAAAAGTAAAATTACTACAAATGACTGTGAATTTACTTAGCATTTAGCACCGTACGCAAAAAAGACTTGCCACGCTCTCCTGCGATGGAAATTTTCTTAACGAGGACAATATTTGCCGAAGTATTTAATATCTTACAGTCATAATGTTGCCACCGCGAAAGTAAAACATTCCACCGACACAGTGGCGCTAGATTCTTCGAAGTTGGCCATATATCGATCGAATAGATCTCGGTCCTGTATGCGCTGAGTATTTCTAAAGAGTTGATTTATCGTGTCCTCGTGAAGGTTATAGCACTTAAGGCGAGGTACACAAATCATCACAACCTGGACCAATTTGGCAAAAAGGAATTTACAATACATTCACTGCTTACCATTTCGGGTGCTCGGGACCGGGCACCGAAACACGAACCAAAACTCATCGCCATGCAGAAATCTTCCCGATTCGTCGTAAACTCACAATAATCCTTCAGGTTGTGCTCACGAAATACTTAGCAAAGCGTTTCGATGAAGTAAAAATCTTGATTAACTTTGGAATGATTTCTTCTGTGTCTGAACCGTGCTAAATATATACAAAAAAACTGCAATCGTTGCGGTAAAAAGCCCTAGCTGGCGATTTGAATGCAACATATGGTGAGATCTATTTACAGCTTGCTAGCATGTGAGCGTGCGTCAAAAAGCTCATTAGCATTCCAATAAGCCAATCATTAGAGAAGCATTATAAATAGCCAGACTCAACCTTTCTGTTTTCAGACTTTTAATTCGTTCATCCCGGTTATTTGGCAACCATTTAACCGATTGAGATAGTTCTTGAAGAAATAAAAGCCCATTTAGAAGTTAAAAGAACCCTAAAAAAGCCTATGTTTGGATGGTGGACAGGGAAAATATGTCGGGGCACACGCTGAGGAGAGGCACTACCTAGGGGGTGTGGGAGAGTAAAAATGGAAAGGACAGTTGATCCATGTTACAGTTACCGGTTTTATTCCCTGGAGAATTGGGGTTAGGTAAGGTCAAGCTAAATTATATGGCAAATTTGAGACCACTCTAATTTAACAGGCTTCAACTAAAATGATTTGGACTGTTTTAGCTATAGCCTTTTTTCTGGATATAATGAAGGAGGTCCTAAAAAAAAATAGGCGATTAATGGGACCTTTTATAGCAGATCACAAATGAGGCTTCTGAAAAAGTCGTTCATTACAAAGGATGCGACGATAGATACGAGAAATCGGAGTAGAAACGTTGATATAAAAATGAAAGTTGCTCTTGGCTATCATTTCCAGTGAAACTCATAACTGAAATGGCCGAGACGCATGTGGACATCACGAGTCAACTAACCCATGTTTCTTACCTTTGCCATTACTTTTAAAATAAAGCTTTGAAAGACAAATCGTCATAGGTCAGTAGTGACAAGCTACATGAACTTTAGCCTGGAAAAAGGGGTCTGAACATTCATCGATCGACAGATCGCTAGATCACCACCCACTGATACTGGAGAGTTTCGAAATCAACGAACTCCCGAAAGGAGCAGTAAAGACTTAGGAAAACACCCGTGAAAACTGAGACCTTGGAAATTTTATTTTTTATTAAGAAACAAGGAAAATGAAAATGAAAGATGGTTTCTACATGCGCTTAAAAGTTAAAAACTCGACAATAAAGAAAAAAATCATTATCATAACGGTTGTTAGCATTAAATAAGAACGAGCTACGGGTAGGGCTCAAAGACTTATTCACTGATACAGAGGTCTTTGCCACGCTGCTTTAATAAGAATACATCTGCTCATTACGACATAAACACGCTTGCTTTACGTTCTATGTCACGTTAGACGATTGGCCAAATTTCAGTGTACACGCTATTAAATTAGTTTGATTGGTTCTTACCTATGACCTACTTGAGGACAGTGTATGGGTAAACAACATAATCATCAACAAACTTTGCTTCTCTATTATAATTATAAAACAGATTCCATGTTGCCATGTGTCTGTTCAGTCAAACATCACAGAAAATCTCAAAATGTGGTTAATTTAAGACAACATTGAGACACTAGGATACAACTTATGACACTTTTTGTCTTTGCCACATTTAGCCCTACGTCTTCCGCTTTGACAAAGGGTTGACGCTCGAAACGTCACCTTTGAAACTCTTTACGGTGGCCAGTTCACATTATAAACTCAGTTGATAAAACCAAAATTGTCTTGTTATATTCCCCCACCGACGCAACACCACAGTTTCGTTAGAAACTTACCCCCTTTATTTATTTGGTACTAAATAAGTCTTAGGAGAGATCAACACGGACGTAATCACAAAATATACGCTTCATCAGTGGCCTCAACGTAATTGAGAGGAATCTTTTTCAGGATTGCATGGTTAAAATAATTCGATCTGTAAGCTTCTCGGAGAAGCCAAGATCTAAGATGGCCTCAGAGATCTGATGTGTCAAGTTCACAAGAATTCGCCTTTTCATCTTTCTTTCTTTTCTTCCACTTCTTCATCTTCGTCAACTTCGTCTTTACCCAAACCCTCGTCTTCATAATTTTGGTCTGAGTCTGGCTCTTGAAGAAACGAGTTGTAGAGGCATACTGCCAACAATTTAAGCACTGGTGTGATCATCAGACCAAAGAGGATTCCCGCAATGAAAATCATGGCAGCTGCATTTTTCCTCAGCATTATAATGTGCTGGTGATGAAATAAAAAATATATTAAACATCTGATTTGCATGAAAATTACAGGATGATGTGCATAATTCCAATGATAATAATTCTAATAAATTTTTTATTCCTCAAAGGCAATGACTCTGAACTTACATTTGCAGATATTTTCTTAAATTTTTTCTTTTTTCAATGATAAATCCAGACGTCTGAGTGTCTAGCTGAGATCACTAAGTCCTTTCAAGGTTTGTTATTCCCTTCTACTCCCAGGATCTCAATAGGTAGGAGAATTTGGTATTGGATCGACCTAGAATCCCCTGGCTTTCATTTTTCTTTATTCTCATTACTTGTCTGCTTGATATTAGATTGATATTGTAAGGAGAAATTCTGTCTTGGTTACTCACTCATGGGAGTTGAAGGGTTATCAGTGGTAGTGAATGATGTACCAGTTGACAACCTGGAAGAAGTCATCACCAGAGAAAAGTGATGACTTGACTCTGATGATGATAATCATTCCTCAGCATTTCAAAACATCATTCACTACTACCAAAAAAAGGACAAGTTCCTTTAAAAGCCAACCCTGATCTGGATGATCAGACCACATGATTACCAGTTACTACTTATCTTTATTAGCTTAATCAAGTTTCTTTAAGGCCAACCCTTATCTGGATGATCAGACCACATGATTATCAGTTACTCCTTATCTTCACTAGCTATATTCTGCTTTAAAATCTTCAACCAATCACTCTTAAAAAACGAGTCTTATTGTTTCATTTTCAATATTTTTTTAGCTTTTTAGCTTCCTCAGTGAGATCAAATTGCTTGTGATTCATTACATAAATTTCCTTAAAAGAGCTTTATTTCATCTTGAATTCATGTGTACCTGATGTGAACTAGTACGCTTTGGAGTAAAAAAAAAAATGCTGAATAAAAGAAATAATTAAGAATAAAGAAGTAAAGATGTTGACAATATTGTAAACTTACCCTTACATCATCCATGATTTCTTCAAGGAAAACATCACTGAATGATAAAAATCAAAATGTTAAAGACAAAAGGTTACTAGTCAAAGGGGTAAATGATGTTAACAATTGTCCTTGAAAGACGTCTTGCTGGTCTTTAGGATCTCCTCTCCTCCTTAACGTTGCTATGTTATTGAGGATAATCATTTATTCTTCAAGACTGCAAACATTTTAATTTTGGAAAACACACTTTGCTGGCTCTCACATCTTTGGCTTCATATCTTTTACAGGAGTGGAACCTTGCTGTGCTGCTTTGAAATTACAGATTCTGCCTCCACAAAATTTCAGCTTTATTTCAAGGAAACTTAACACATCAACTGACTTAAGTCCTGACCAGTCTCAATAAAAAAGTCAATCATGTAAAATTGAATAAGCTTTCAATTGTTTAATATAAAGGGGTTAGGTTTCTAAAGAAATTAAGGTGCTGTGTTGGTGGGGAGTTGTTAATAAATAACAGACATTGCAAAAAGTTACTAATTAAAGGCTAATTAAAGGTTTCAAGCATTAGCTCTTTATCAGAATGAATAGATAGAAATAATTAGTAGATAAGAGTAAAATGTTCTTACAATTTTCCTACTGGAGGTGGTACTGGTGTAACTGCTGCCAGCTGATAACCTTCTTCAATAAACCTCACAAAAGACTCTGCATCAAGATTCTCTGATGAGTAATGATATTGTTTGCCCTGTTTAAGGCTGAGAAAATTTAAAGCATGGTAAGAGACGTTAACATTTTAAAGTTACAGCTGCTGTAAAATTCTCCACAAGTGTGAATACATAGTTTAAATTGCATTTCTGGGTCCAGTTGTTAAAAGTGTGGATACTGTAACACTTAATCCAACGGATAACTCACTATTAAGCAGAGAAGAGTTAACAAAAATTTGTTATGCTCTATCTGGTGGATAGTGCTATCTACCCTTCAAATAACCAGTACCATGTCTGAATGATTTCAAGTTGTTTCAATTTCTACTTTCCTCTGTTCCAGATATAATTTTATCATCATCATGAAAAACATCTTTAATTAAGGAAAATTCTCATCATTAAAACTAGTGTAAAACCATTTGAGATTTAAATTCAAATCAACCTTCAGTAAAAACTTCTTTAATTATCGATATTTTATGAATATGAAAAAATTGCAGTGGTTCTTTACTCAAGACAGTTGTACATGACTGTATAGGGGAATCCTTGTTTACATTATTTGCCTCATTAGCATAAGCAATTCAGTTTCTGATGGAGCTAAAAATATATCAGTTCTGAATATCAAAAGGTCAAAGTACAATTAACTCGGAAAATGAATACGAGCCTGATGCATTGAATACTTTTTGTGCAACATGGGTTTAAAAACTCAAAATTTTATATAGAATGTATGAGCTCATTAGCGCTTTTGCCACCCAGAAATTTTGCAGTTTTTGATGGACCATTTCTCCTTGAATATTACACCCAAAGAGCTTAAAATTTCACCATGTACCAAGGTTTTTTAGCTCTTTAGCTGCCTGAAGTCAATTTGTATCTAACATGCTTCCTTCTTTACGCAAAGCCGTATGCAAATGAGCAAAAATGTAAAGAATGACGTCAGCATGAACCCGCCTATAGCTGTGCATTGTGATTGCATGAATGCTAATCTATTTACTGGTGTGTTTTATGTTTAAAAAGCCAAGCCCTTTTGTAAATAAAAAAAAACAAAAAACAAAAGAATACAAGAATCACTGTTTATCATAACTGTTTTCAAAACTCATTTGAAAGAACTTACAGAATAACAGTTGGCCATTTGTGAACATCAAATCGTCTAATTGTCACTGAAAATTTAAAAAATGTTTAAGGTTGGACATGAGCTGTGTCCAATGATGCAAAGGTAAATAATTCACTGAGCAATTGTGGATTCCAATCTGTCAAAAAACAGAGTTAATGGTTGCTAATAATAATGGTTGATAATAATGGTTGCTATCTAGCCTAATGGCTAAATAAAAAAGTACTGATACAGGGATACTCCAACTGGATGGGTTATTCAAATGACTGACTGTTTCCTTAATTGACTATCTGTCTCAATGACTTGCTGACTAACAGGTTGCCTAAACAGTTGATTTTCTAACAGCTGGCTGACTGACTAACAGATTGCCTGGTTAGGTGACTGACTGACTGGCTTTCAGACTGACTGGCTTTTAGATTAGACTGACTAATTACCTAACAGATTGCCTGGTTAGGTGACTGACTGACTGGCTTTCAGACTGACTGGCTTTTAGATTAGACTG